TGTACTGTGTCCGAGTAACAACCAGACTACAGATCACGTTTTTCCACTGAACTGTTCGCATTGAAACATGCATACGGATTTTATTTGACGAGACTGTGTAATTGTTACACGCGGGCAAGCACGCACGCCCGCACACATATACACGCAATTGAACATGTCACGACAATATCTACCTCGTTCAGACAGGAATATTACATCTCCATGCAAGGGAAAAACAGTCAGTCCCATGGCAGTTACATAAACACAATGCTTGGGTTGTGGGTTATTGGGTGTGTTGACGGTGTGTTGATGGAATCAGTGACTGCTAGCGTATTATATCAGCCTGGAGTGAACAGGAGCAAACAGGTAGTGACCTGTGCATACAGCCAAGGCATTCACGTGGCAAGTATCTGAGAGTCAAGGTCATCACGACTGGTTTACTTGTCAAAACGCATCGCGAAACTACCATTGAGAACGTAGTTGTAGTCCGTAGGTAATTGCTGAAGTAGATAATATCCATGCACATACTGAACTTATCATTATCGGATGTGAAAATTTGTGTTTAGCTCTTGGCGAGTGAGTCCTTCGGTTACTTTGCATAGGGGAATTAGGCATGAAATGCCATATGATTTCAAAACATATGACCAAAAAACAACTTTCCAACGGGTCAAAATCAATGAGAGTAGTCGTGTGCATTGTCATACGAAACAAATACCGGAGATTATTCGGAACTGTAGAATAATTTACAAAATCATATGGTGTGGAGCTGTGACTTGTGTTCTTTTGTTGGCACTGATTAAGAGATTAAGAAGAACAAACCATTTCAAACGTACTAAACTACTGATAGATCACTTTTTTGGTACAAAACCCATCCTGTTAAAGCCTCCTAAGAACCTTCGGCGTGTTCACAAGAAGGTCAGTTGAATCGTTTCGTTTTCTTTAGAAATCTGTTCCACTGGAAACAATGGTTTGGGTTTGTGAGGCTGGAAAAATGCGACAGGTACATGTCTGGTTTCTACTTCGTCGCTCAAAATAATTATGGCTGAAAGAATACACCATTTCCACGCTTGTCATTCGCAAGGGATCATCAAGGAAATGGATGTCGTTCATAACCTTCTCGATTCAGTGTCAATGCTTGTGTGAACTAGCAATCCTAGAAGATAAATTAGTTAACCAGATCTTTCGGTCCAGGAATGACCACAAATGTTGGGATGACTATCACTAGGAAACATGGTCCAATCTGGACAGTCTGCAACCGGAAATCCATACTTCAAAAGCCTAGTGATCAAATAATCGATGTCTTACAAAATTCCGAACATATTCTATTGTTTTTAATTTTTTTGTTCTGTACCACGTGCAGCCCGTGAAGCACATAAAGCACAGACAGAATAATCGATAAATTTTGTTCGTGTACTGGTTAATCGGCCGGAGGAGAACATCAATAACGGAGAAACACAGGTTAGCTTTATTGATCACATTATTTGAGTCTGATAGGGAGGTTGGTTTTTCCCGAGTGTTTCTTGTATCCTAACCGTACTGCAATGCATCGGGTCATGTTTTAGTGGTCTTAAAGAGTTATCTGTGCACGTGTTGATATGTGTATGTGAGTGTGAACGAGGTGTTGGTTGCTTTGCTGGTTTTGTGTGCATGCGTATGTCTACGATAAACTCTCCATGATTTGGTAGACCACAGGTTCTAAACCGTTCTTCTCTGTCTCTGGTCTAGTGATGGTCTTCAGTTTGTTAAAACGTGAATCGATGAGCAGGTTTGAGAACAGAGTACTTAAATTTCTCTTTCTGTGCAGTTGGTGGTTCTTCATTAGTTTGTCGTTCTTTTCCATCCATTTGTTATGGAAATAGGGAGATACTGAACTACAATTTAAGTGATTGTTGATATTATTTTCCATTGGATAATACGATCGAATAAATAAGTACTTTGGTGATGAGCGTCAAATGTGTGCTGAAGATAGCCACTGAAACAAATGAGGAATATTGGAGTGTAAAGCACACGAGGGTCAGTTTATTTACAAGGGGCGGATAGTGAAGACAACGCAGGACAAAACTTTACTTTGTTCGCAAAGGGAACAAACACAATCCGTATTGACCATATGAGAAAGTTGGAAATTGTTCGTATTGTAGGTTTGATCGTTAACTAACATTTTTGTCCGGTTGATTTTTGGAAACAGAAAGTGCCCAATTTATTTTCATTCTGTTTATGCAACTGTTTAACTAGCCACCCATAGTTCTTCTTTGTTGTAATGATCCTCTAGACACTAGAAATTGAAAAGAATTATTCATAAAGGTGCAGCATTTAACAAAATACCCAAAATACTCAATTTTTGGTGCGTACAAAAGACAGATTAAGTTATAGCTAGTTCGAATGAGACTCATCAGAGGAAACCGATCACAATAAGAACATCGAGTTGTCGAATGAACCAAAGGTCGTTCGAACAGCTGATCATGTGAGTGTTTTCATAGTCTGCGAATATCTATCGATCTTCGCCGTAAATCAATTTCACTTCGGCTGGGTTTAAAAGTGACTATCGTGCTCGGGGCACTGATAAATTTCACACGGACATGCACAAACTGTATGTTGCACCGTCAAACTGCTCGAGTGGAGGCGAGGTGTGTGTGTGTAAACATTTCGCGATAAAGTGACTAATTCTGTTCACGTTTTATTTCCTTTCCAGTACCATGTGATGCACATGCATAGTATTGTAAGTTGAAAGTCCCTGAATCGGTTCGGAAATGATGCTGAACACGGAAATAAACCACCAACACCCGTCTTGGGAGTATCTAGAACCACTATTGTGTACACGGGGCTTGTTGCCGGTTTAGACTAGGTATTGCAAATAAACTCTAGTGTGACTCTAAATAAAGAGCATACTTTGCCGTGTATTCGGTTAAAGTTTTTGCTGTTTATTTGATTCAGATAAAAAATGGTTCAATTTATGCTCTTGTGCGTGTGTGTATCATTAAATATTCCTAACTCCCTTCCTTAATGAGTCGATTCACAATACGGGATGCATTGTGACGAGCCAAAAATGAGTCAACCGAACAAACGATTGAACGACAAAAAGCCCATCTAATCGTTAGGAAATACGTAAGAAGTATGCATTCGGTTTGCCAAATGGTTAATTTTTCCTTTTCTTATTTTCGTGTCATGCTTGAAAACAGATAATCATCACATGTGCAACAGGTTCGAGGCGCTTCGCACCTTTGGTGCGTACGTACACAGGATTTATGTTTTTTCAACTTTCCCGATTGTGAAATGAGTCACACTTTCGGTGTAACAACGATTATACATGAATTTGCATACCAAAATGATCGACCAAATTTGGCAATAAGGGTGAAAGTCGTTTGTATTCCGATTCAATTGGGTTAAATATTCTCTCTCCTCAATCCTACACCACCACCACCGCCACCACCACCAAACCACCACAAACAACCGGGAGTGCAAACACCACGACTGTCTGGATTGTCAAATTTACGTCTATGATGTGCCAAATAACATGATTTACCGATTTCTGTTCATACTTGCACACAAAACGGAACATTCTGTGACCACGTGATGAAACACACTCACTCCAGTGACGGTAATTGAAACAATTCACGGAGCTCGCTGACCGAGAACAGCTATTTGACAAGGCGACTGGGATGATCATCTTTCAAGTTACGCATAGCCAAAACTACTGCACAACGGGAAGGCTGCAATGCAATAACTGTCTCAAGTTTTTACTACCTATATATATATATATATATACTCTGATATTGGTGAATGTATCTTTTGTTCCCACAGTTCGGTCTGTGCCGTAATAATATATCTGATTGATGATGTCACATTGATATAAAACCATCCGTATAAAAACTCAGGCTATTAAGATATATTTTCTCGTTCAGTAAAGCACTACATCAGAAGAAAACCCCTTTTCACATAACGTACTGCAAACGTCAGTGCGCTCATCACTTCATTTTCGTTAATTTATATAGTGATTATAGGACGGCTCGGTGTTAAGTATCATCAAACTACTCCCCTGGAAAGCGTGTGTTCGGATCCCAACACCAGCGCAGCCTAACTTCTCCCATTGTGTTGTATGGTAGTCAATTGATTGGGCGCTACCCGATTCCCAAAAATTGTATCATTGTTCATCTTGAATAAATGGAAGTAGTAGAAGAAAAATGAGAAAGTTATGTTCATCGCCACGACGCTCACGAATGATGAATTCTTAATTCAACTTCACTCTATCACTTCGTACAGTCTGAGTATGATTTTCCGGGCTTATCGCAGGTTCGGAGCTAATAAAGTTAACCTTAGTTCTGAGGTTCAAAAGTGCCGTACAAACCACTGCGATTGCCGTGCTTTAATCATTCATGAAGCGGTTACGCAAGGAGAATTCTTGAAACGACGTTGTTTACCGCCAGAAAGACCTGGTACGATTGTTGCGTGCGATTTTTTCAGGTGAGAAGCTATGCAGTTCTCCTTGATTCAAATATCACCTCGATTTTTCACCACACAGATTGTCCACACTATGACTTAGCGCAGAAAAAGAGCACTTATACACAGATCATACTGTCCAATCACTTACCACGGTGTTTTAATGGAGTTTTTCTACTAGCATCTTGGGCATTATCTTCCATTTCATCTTCTTGTGCTTCATCGGGAACATTTTCTGCAATTCGTGGTCCTACTGATCGGTCCACGTCCGATTTGATGACCAGCTGACCCCGTCCCACTCGATCACCGGAACGTGCAATTGGCTTGCGTTCGTCCGTCTTGATCTGGCCGGCACGGGATCCTCCAACTACACAACCGTCACACACACTAACAGCCAAACGGGCATTTGGGTAACATGTACAATGACAATCGGGATATTCTGTCCAGGTTGAGAATAGTCCATGCATTGTACCATTCGAGTCCAGACAATGGGCTTTAATCTGCTCCGACCAAAACGAGCCAGGATCAGCGGACGGATTAACTGGGGTCATATTTGAGTCTTGCGAGATCGGGCCATTACCTGATGCCAATTGGTTGGCTTGGGTGACGGTCATTCCGTAAGATAATATAACAAACATGCTGATCAGCTGAGCGATTGAAACACTCTGCCTAATTGGGGGAGAACGGGAGAACGGAGTGCGTAGCAGGACAACAGTGAGGGAACGGTCACTTTTGATGGTATGAGTGTGGGGTAAAAGACATTTATTACTTGATGAAGCTTGGAACAAAGATCCTGAGGTGTGAAATTCCAACAATACTGGACGCAAATGTCGGGACCCGGGTGTCCCAGTTGAAGACATCAGTTCGAATGTGACCTGATGCAAAAAATGCAATGGCCTAGTAACGACGAGACCGATGATTAGGTAGACGAAAATTAATTTCACTCCAGACTGTGTGCCCAATGACGGGGATAAACCGATGCGCACCGGTCGTGAATGCACAAAAGTACAGATAAAAATTGGCAACACAATCCGAAACACCGGGTCAGTATGCAGTAGAATCACCAATGCGATCAGAATGGGGACAGTTTGACACGTGATTTGTTCGGTAAAATCAGATTGCGCAATCAGGTCAGTGGTGTGGAGGTTGTTTTGAGCGGACTGGCAATTGAATGCCGATTGGTGGCTGATTGGCCGACGAGAGATGGAATGCTTATATACCATCGGCTGACACCACATTCGGTCAAATAAAACCGGGTTGAACGGTGTGATCAGCAAACGTTGGGCTTGTCAGACGATTCTTTGTTTGTATCAGGAGCATCTGAATAATAATCATTAATTTTCAACAGGCCAGTGAAGGCAGGATCGTGCTCATTCATCACCCTCAGGATCCGTTCCGAATAAGGCTAAATGGGCAAATTCACACGAAACACAAAGTGCCACAAGAATTGGCCCGGGGAGCAAACAGACATGTAGGGCCAGTTTAGCACAAATTTATCCGAGAGTTGTTTTGATGTTATCGTTGCTGGTGGTGGTAATGACCGTGATTGCGGTGGAGCTGCTGCTGTTGCTGTTGTCGCTGTTGTTCTTGTTTGCGGTGGTGGTGGTGGTAGTGGTGGCGGCGATGGTACGGGTATTGGTCACAGCATGTCCTTTTGTATCCCAGACACATGGCTAACTAACTCGATATCGTTGGTTGCCCGCGGGTGACGGAACAACCTACGCGTTGGGGCACAGATGGACTCGAATTTGTGGAACCGCAAGAATCATTGTCCGTATGGGATACACGGACCGCCTCGTCACGATACTCGTAGTCCTGCCACAATATCAGCGAACTACTTGAACACACGCAGCACATTGGTTCATGCACAAAAATGGACTATTTCTTCGTCTCTGTCAGTGTGTACACCTATGTGTGTATACGTTCCCGCGTGCGTGCGTGCATGCGTGTGTGCGCAAACTGTTGAGTGTGCTACGCTGTGGTCTCCGCGTTGATTGTGTGTGTGTGTGTGTGTGTGTGTGGTTCTGTGCTTGCATGGGTTTACTTATCTTCGCATCCAGTATTTTGCGGCTCCGAAGGTTCATATTTCTCCTGAAATATTATTCATTGACACTTGACCCATCTTCATTATTCCCGTGGATGAATATCAAAGTTGTCACTGTTAGGGCTCCTCAACCGAATGTCACCTAATCAAAAGACATTTACCTAGACAATTAAAACTATTCGCATGTGAGTGTATGTGCGCGTGCGTGCGTGCGTGCGTGTCTACTCTAACGCTACGTGCGGATGAGTCAAGCTTGTTTAATCGTGAATGGTGCCTCCACAATGGAACCAATAGATTTTCGAGTTTGTATGCGACTGGATAAACGATACGGACATACGAAAATGGGCCAATCAAGTGCGCGAACGCAACTGACGAATCAAAACATGCTGCTTCAGATATCAAACACATAGTGCTTTGACGCAGCTGTTTCATTTAGATCGGAGGTGGAAAGAACTATGTGCTAGTATTCAACAAACACCGAGAGATCTGTGCGAGAACACAATTCACGTTGCTAACGCGTACGTGCCTGTAGATCTTTGCCAGCACAGAGACGACAATTTCATGTCAGTTATAGCGCTGCAAACGAAAATCCCCTGTGCGGTTTGAAATACTGATCTACCCAGAAGTAAGCGTAAATAAAAGGGTGCATTGCACAACCTGCCATTTCCACATCGGTTGTGGTTTTGTGATTACCCACACGGAAAGTGCTCCACAGCTACATTTAAATGAAAACAAATAATAGCATGCAATATATTACCTGAAACTCAATAATCACTGGTATTTTGGTTCTTCTAGACTTTTACTCGCCGCTCTTGGAAGAAACTAAGTTTATGTTTGACAATAGTGGTGTGAATTCTAAACCTAGGATTAAATTTATAAGCGTATTTCAAATAACGAGGATTCGAAGTTGTATAATCAATAGGGAACATCTCAGCGAGCTTCAAGAGACCTGTAGTTTTTCATTTCTATTTATTCATTCGGGAGTAAATTAAGAGAAGCTAACTCGGGGATGACATAATTTCATCTATGGTATTGTTTCCGACTGATCTGGTGCTAGCCTAATAAATAACCCCGGACCAGAAGAGGAGTGCCTCATATTGTCGGTAAGATTCACTTCTATCCGTGTGAATTGATTGCTAGCAGCCTGAAATCGATACAATTCAAGGTTGATTTTTCTTTATCAAACCACGTAATCTTGGTTGCATGATGCAAGCTGTAGTTCTATGTCGGGCAGTATTCACAAATGTTTCGCTATTCCAGGCACCAATGGGCGAATATGTCTACGTGTGTCTGATCGTAACACCGCTTGCAATGAAAATACAGAGACAAATTCGGCACAATTTTCTTAGAGCCTAAGGTAAATGCAGAAGACATAAGTTGGGCTGAACGAACGTTCTGCTATCCGCAACGCCAGTACAACTGTGACACCCGGAGTGAACAAGATTCTGTGACTGTCGTTTTTGTCCATGTGTATCAATTCTATATTTCAAAATACCATAGCCGGTAGGACTGTTTTAGAAAATACCGTGGACACAAAGGTGAAACGGATGCAACAAAACGGTTTCACAAACACAATAGTCATGCAAAACAGCATTCTCAGCTTCATGACGCATCCTCCAAGTGCTTACAAAAGTGTTAACTTCTATGATACTTCCCCGCGCGAAACCCTTAGGAGAGATGAATATACGCCAACAGCAAGCCGGATTCCGACCAGGTCTCGATTGCATCCACCAAATCTTCACTCTGTGTCGAGTCCTCGAACTTTGCCACATACATCTTAGGCTAACAATCGCAGTTTTCTTTGACCTAAAAGGAGCCGTCTATTCAGTTGACCGTGAAGCTCTTCTGGGGTCGCTGCTTCGCAAAGGGATGCCACAAAATTATGTAAACCTATTGCGGTCGCTGTGCCTGCATACTTCTGGTATCGTAAGGGTCTACGATGGGCTAAGTAAATCGTTTGAAACCAGGAGCGGTGTTCGTCAAGATTGCCCTATTTCGCCAATCTTGTTCAATTTCGTCGTACAGGAAATACTGGAGAAGGCACTTGGTGGTCTCCAAAACGTAGGCACAGCTGGAGAAAAGCTGTGCAATTTAGAGTACGCTGACGAAATCGTTCGCCTGTTCGAGTGTATGGAGGATAAGCAAAGAGCTCTTGACAGACTAGCAAGTTCTGTAGACATGCGCTTTGCACCTTCAAAGTGCAAACTGATGCTAAAAGACTGGGTGTCGTATACCCCGGCACTGATACCTGATGGTCAAGAATTAGCAACAGTGGAATGTTTCACCTACTTAGGTTGCTGCATTACAAACGGCGGTAGCTTAGTCAATGAATTAACCACCCGTGTTTCCAATGCTCGAGCAGCTTACGCAGGATTGAAACACCTTTGATGCAGACAGGATGTTTCGTTGAAACTGAAATGTCGCGTATACTGTGCCAGTGTTCGGTCAGTTCTGTTCTATGGTTGCAATATCCTAAATTTGTGCGTGGAAGATAGTTGTCGTCTAGAAGTCTTCGACTACGATGTCTACCTAGTTTGGCGCGGGTGGGATGGAGAAAGTGTGCAAGCAGCTCCGCGGATTTGGTTGTGACTCAATGGAGAATTCGTTGTCCCATCGAACTCAGATTAGTCGGGTTCGATGGTTAGGACACGTATTGTTCATGTCCAGTCCTCGTCTACTGCATCTTGCCTTATTCGCAGTTGCGGCTCCAGGTTGGAAGAAACCGCGTGGAGGTCAATAGTTGACGTTGAAACTAGGCATGAAGAAATGGGCAGAGAGATTAAATGGAGTCGGTGTCTCCCGTCTTCCAGGTTGGGTTCCGAACGATTCTGAAACTGGATGGTTGGATGCACTGAAGGATATGGCGACTAACTGACAACAGTGGCGTTCTCGTTGTCATTTCTTATAAGATCCGAATACCTGAAAAGGTATGTATGCACACTTAGATTGTGTACTCTGTTTGTTGACCATGGAGGTTCACTTTCTCTGCTTCCCTCCAATTAGACCCCATCTCTCTCCATCGTGTGCTTTATCACTTGATTTATGTACATTGCGAGCTTGGCAGCTATCAGTGAAGTTTACTTCACTGTATCTCGCTCTACGATGATCAGGATGATGATTTCAAGTAAGACAAGTGTTTTTCATGTCGTGGAATAGTGCGTTTATGTGCCGTCGTGTCACATAGCTTGTATCTGCTGATCGACTCAAGCTCATGCTCGTGAATGGACTAGGTAGTAAGGATTGTCTTTCCGTTGCGTAACCGAATGCCACATACGTGCAGGCACTAACACAGTGACCGTGGCGAAACCGCTGTCTCCCAGTGTAAGTAAGAACTAAAACAATGAACAAAAACGTTCCGCTGAAGTCAAAATATTCCGAATTACCACGGGAAGCGGATCACGACGGGAGGTGATCAATAGTGACTTTATAAATGATGATGATGATGACGATGATTTGCGTTCTGTAATGTATTTTTGACTCAACCGAATCGGGACGGTCATTTAACTACTAGTTCTTCAAAAAGTGCACTTCCACGGGTGACAAGCATGATGTGCAATCAGTGATTAACTCTATTTTCAGTATCTTTCATCATCA